GTTCCGACCGCCTAAGACGGCCCAAGGAGTCCCGAAACGAGTCGCAGAGGCCACACGGATGGCTCCAGAACGGCCCAAGAGGCCTTCAAGCCAGCCCCAAGAGGGCCCCAAGACGGCCCAAGAGGTTCCAAAACGGCCAAGATGGTCTCCAAGATCCCTCAGGACTGCCAAGATGACCTCCAAGACGACCAAGATGACATCCGAGACGGCAGACATATCCTCAAGAGAGCCGAAGGTGGCCCATGAGGCGCTCAAGATGCATCCAAAACAGCCCAAGATGCCTCAAGACGTCCTCCAGGAAGGCCCGAAGAAGACAACATCAATGATTATCCTGAAGTGTTTGAAAGATGTTCGCATTTGCTTCTTGCCGCCCGTCCGACGATCCAAGACGGGCCAAGAGGATCCCAAGATCGCCCCAAGATCGCCCAAGAGGCCCCAAGATGTCCCCATGACGGCCAAGGCGCCCCTAAAACGGCTCCAATAATGCCCCCAGATGGCCCAAGCGGCTTCCAAAACGTCCAAGGTGGCCTCCAAGACGGTCCTGCAGCGCCCCAAGAGGGCGCCAAGTAGGTTCAGAAAAGGCTCCCAAGACGGCTTCCGACGGCGCCAGACGGGCCAGGAACGCCCTAAGACGGCCAAAGAGGCCCCCAATAAGCCCTCAAGAAGCCCCCAAGAGCTCCCAAGAGACCCAAGGAAGCCCCCAAGTGGCCCCCAAGAGGCCCGAAGAGTGCCTAAGGAGACTCCAAGAACGCATCCTCCTCCTCCTCCTGCTCCGCCGCCCTCGCCTGATCCTCCGCGCCATGCTCCCCCAAGCGTTCCCCAACAGATTTCCACAGCAGTTCGGGGAACGAGACGGCTTAGAAACGCCCCGAGAACCTCCAGGGACGCTCCCCCAGTAGCCCCCGACGGCGTCAGACGGGCCAGAAACGCCTCCGACGGCGTCGGACGGGCCAACGCCGTCCCAAGACGGCCAACGAGGCCGCCGAGAAACCAGGAATCTCCCAGATGGCCCCAAGACTCTCCAGAGACTCCCAACAGGTCTCTTCCTTCTTCAATTCCTCCTCCTCCTTGTTCCTCTTCCTCTTTCTCATATTCTGTGTTTTCCTGTTTCGCATTGCCTCTTCCTCTTCACGTGCTTCCCGAAGGCTTTCCAACCATATTCGGGGAACACGTGGGTTCATAGCTGGGGCAAGCTCCAACTCAATTGTTGGCGCCTAGGCGTCTCCAGTGACATATAGCGGCATCGTTTGATCCAGCTCTGCTTCGCACGTGCAGTATTGGTTTCACATATCAGGGCGCTGGTTACGAAACGTTCGGAGCGTTCGATAACCTCAGAACGTGGAGCAGTGGGAATGGCCCCGTTAGTTCGCCGAAGAAGGCTCAAAGACGGCCCAAGATGGCTCCAAGATGGCCTACGACTGCCCAAGAGAGCCCCAGGGCCCCAAGAGGCCTCCAAAAGCTCTACCAGGAAGGCCCGAAGAGGCCAAAATCATTGATGATCCTTCGGCTGTTGAAGGATGTTGGCATTTTCTTCTTTTCAGCTCCCCGACGGCCCAAGGCGGCCCGCGAGGCCCCCAACATCGCACCAAGAACGCCCAAGAGGCCTCCAAGATGACCCCATGACAAGCCAAGAGGCCAGCGAGAGGGCCCCAACGATACCCCAAGACGGTCCACGAGGCCCCCAAGACGCCCAAGATGGCCTCCTAGACGGCCGAGATGGCCGCCAAGATGCCTCCAAGACGGCCAAGAAGGCCTCCAAGACGGCGAAGATGGCCCCAAGGTGCACCCAAGACGGCCCCTGATGGCCTGAAGATGGCCTTAGACTGCTCAATAGGCCCGCCAGAGGCCTCCAAGATGGCCCCAGACCCCTTCAAGACGTCCTCCAGGAAGGCCCGAACGCTCGGAAACCACCTGGTCCGATAGTTCGCCCGACTCCGTGTTCCACGGAGGCTTTCGAAACCCACTCGGGGAACGCGTGGCCCGATAGCTTGGCCAAGCTCAAGCTCAACTTTCGGCCACGCAGGCGCTTCCAAAAAGGCAGGAGGCGGTAGTGATTCGCCGTAGGCGTCTTCGATATACATACAAGCTCCAATCACGCAGCACCCAGAAGCCGCAACAGCGACTCTCCCCCACAGGGTCGGCGGTGCGGCGTAAGCCAAATCATCGAAGTGGAACGGAGAACTTCCCACCAGGAAATCGGTTTCGGTTTCGGGTTCGTGCCGCGCGTGCGGGCGTGGCGAAGCTGCGTTGGGCGGGCGAGAGGAATGAACCCTCCTCTGGCCAGGGCGCGACGACGACAGAAGTCCGCCCCCCCTGGGCCGAGTGGCGAGGGGGTGCTGGGGGTGTCACGCCGTGGTGTCCCGATGGTGTCCCGTGGTGTCCCGTGGTGTCCCGCGGTGTCTCGATTGGTGTCCCGATGGTGTCCTGGTGGTCTACCGGTGATGCCCCACGGTGACCCGGCGTGGTGTCCCGATGATCTCCCGTGTTGTCCCGTGGTGTCCCATAATGTCCCGTGATGGTGTCCCGTGATGGTGTCCCGTGTTCCGCGGTGTTCCCCCCGCGGTGTCCCGATTGTGTCTTGACGGTGTCTTGACGGTGTCCCGATGGTGTCCCGATGGTGTCCCGAGGTGTCGCGTTGTTTCCCGTGGTGTCCCTTGGTGTCCCGCGCTGTGCATTGGTGTACATAGTGAGATCGATAATGAGATTGACAGTGGGATCGAAAGTGCGATCGACCGTGAGATCAGTTCCGAGATCGATAGTAAGATCGATAGTGAGATCGATCGTAAGAACGGCATCAAGGCCGTTAGTGAGATCGAGAGTGAAATCGCTGGAGAGATCGATACTGATATCGATAGTGAAATCCATATTGGGATCCACAGTCAGATCGATAGTAAAACCGTTGGCGAAGTCGAATGTGCGACTGGTGAAGAGATCGATTGCGAGATCGGTGGTGAGATCGACAGTCAGATCGATAGAAAGATCAACAGTGAGGTCGATAGTGAGATCAATAGTGAGATCAAATGGTGAGATCAATGGTGAGATCGCTTGTGTGATCTGGATTGAGATCGACAGCAAGATCAATAGTGTGATCGATAGTGAGGTCGAAGGTCAGATCGGTGGTGATATCGATTGTGCGATCGATACGTATGTCGATTGTGAGGTCGAGTGTGAAAGTGCTTGTGGTATCGATCGTGAGATCAATAGTCAGATCGATAGTGAGATCGGTAGTGCGATTGCTAATGATATCGATCGTGAGATCGGTATTGATATGGATTAAGTGAGAACTTGGTTCCCCCTCGAACCTCCTTATCACCCGGAGGGTGGTTGTGTATGTACAAGTACATGTACGTACATAGATGTGCACACACAGACGTGCATGTCCACATACATGTATACACGCACATATACACACATGTACACATATAAGTGGCACGTGCGTGTTTAGGCTCACATAAAAAAGTGATGCAGGATGTAGCCAGCGCAAGGCGCAAAGGGCCAGACAACTGTACCCTCGGCGCGTGGACCATACAGCAAAGTGGCACAAAAAAGACCCGCATGGTTCGAGCGAGCGAGCGAGCGCCCATCCAGCGCCACTGATCGTAGAGCCGCGCCCGTTTGGGCGGGACGAGTCGGGCCGCATGGTCCGGCTCGGCCAGAAAAGGGCCACGGCGACCTACATGGAGTCGAGAATGCGTGGGACACCTGCCCTTGCAATCTGGCGGCTGGCACTCTGCTGTCCCAGGGCTCCAAGGTCCAACACGTCTTGCTGAAGGTCCGTGTGGGCACGGAAGCCTGAATGGTGACAGGATGTGTCACGCGGAAGGAGCGCTTTGCGAAGCATCACTGTCGAGAGCATTGAAATCCCTTGAGGCCCTGCCCTGAAACAATCTGGCGGCTGACACTCCTGGGCTGCATCGGCAGTGCATCGTAAGGGGGGCCCAGTGGCTGGCACTCCAAGCACCTGGGCTGGGGTCTGATGGGACCCATGACCCACTGCAGCCGCGTAGCTGCAGGGAGAGGAGGGAGGAGGTGAAGTGCGGCAGGTGGGGGCGCGGCAAGGGAGCTTCAACCTGGCGGCTCGCACTCCTGGGCTGCATCGGCTCGATTTGGAAAGGGCATTTCAAGCGGACCGGCGGAATGGCCTCCTTTCTAAGAGTCGGATTCAAAAAGAGCTGAATCTGGGGAGGATCCCTCAAGCGAAATGTGTCCTTCACGATCTGCCTCAACCTGGTGGGCACGAGATCGGCCTCATTGGTGACAGGGTGTGTCACGTGGAAGGACCGCTTTGCGGAGCATCTTTGTCAAGAGCATTGAAATCCGTTGATGCCCTCCCCTGAAGCAATCTGGTGGCTGGCACTCTGAGCAGAAGGGGTGGATTTTGGGACGACATCATATTTTAAGAGTCGGTCTTGAAAAAGGCTGGATTTGGAGAGTATGTCTCAGGCGACACGGCCATTATCTAAGAATCGGGCTCGAGAAAGAATATATTGCGGGAGGATATCTCAAGCGAAACGGCCATGCTCTGAGAATCGGGCTCAAAATCATTAACATTACGAACTGTATTTGGAAGTTGTGTTGCAACAGTGTTTTAAACTGATATGGTTGAGGATTTATATTTGACGATTTGCGTGAGGGGTGTGCCCGTGTTTTTTTAATTCTGAGGGTGTCCCTGGCGAGTCCGACGCAGTCACCCCTCGAGCTTTATTCCCTTATACATATACATAGACAAATACATAGACATGTACACAACCATGTGCATCTACAAGGACTCCTGCATGTACGTATATATATATATATATACACATGAATATCAACGGGCTGATCTACCGTACTGAGAGAGAGAGAGAGAGAGAGAGAGAGAGACAGAGACAGAGACAGAGACAGAGAGAGAGAGAGAGAGAGAGTAAGCTGAGAGGGGGACACCGAGGGCAAAAGGTGCTGGGTGGGGGCGCGGGAGCTGCTGACCTTCGACGCAAAGAGAAGCGGCGCGCGCTGGCTGCCTTGGAGCGTCCAACGCTCAGCTGGCCTTTGGGCTTGTGTTCGGGACTAGCAGGAGGAGGAGGAACGAGAGAGAATGGGACGGGGGAGGGGGAACTGGACGCGGATGGGACGCCGGAGGGGTAAAGGCGTGAGAGGGGCGGCATCTGCGAGTCGGTGACGGCGGCAGGAGAACGAAGAGGATGGAGAAGACGAGGAGAAGCGACATTTGCCCAACGCCCCCTCCCTGCCAAAACAACACCGCGCACGCACACGCAGCACGGACGAGCTACTGGCACGGGCACTGTCCTCGGCCACGACATGCACCCAGCCCTATCGGATCCTACCACGGCGAGCGCCAAATGAGGGGGGCGCCAGCAACACTGGCGACGACGAGGCTGGCAACGCCTGGCACGGCAACGCGATGAGCTGGCGAAAATAAAGCACGAACCTGTCAAGTCATAGGCAAGCGGGATGGCAACCAGGAGGGGGCAAGGGGGGAGAAACGAGGGAAAGGCCAGCCTATGCAGACTAAGAGTATGGGCTGAACGCGAATTTTGCGGAATTCCAGCGAGGTGTGAGCAGCTGAGAACGGCCTTGTGAACGGAGTGCGTAGGGCTGAAGGCACGGACCTAATACTGCACATCAGCCCAAGTCTGGTCTGAAGAGCTCGGATCATGGGCCATAACGTCCAAGCGATACCTGACGTTTTCCGCTGTTTATTCTGGCTAAGATCGAGATCGGACATTCCGCCGATCCGGCGTGTGAGTTTAAGACAGCTACAACCTGGGCTTCAGCTCTGCTGGGGGGGGCCGGGGGGGCTCTGCCGGGGTAGGGGGGGGAGGGGGGGGGGTTCATCGGGTCCACCCTTTCTTTCCCCACCCCCCGGGAATCCCAAACCGCCCCAAGACGGGCCAAAAGGGGCCCAGGAGGCCACCAAGACGGTCCAGGAGGCGCCCGAAACGGCCCAAGAGCGCTCCTGGACGCTCAAGATGGCCTGAAGACGGCCCAAGAGGCCTCCAAGACGCCTCAAGGGGATCCCAAGAGGACCCCCAAGAGGGCCCCAAGAGGGTACAATAATAAAGTTGCCAATAAGTTTTGAAGCATGTTTGCATTATCGCCTTTTCGGTCTTAGAAACACCGAAGACGGTCCAAGAGAGATCGCCCCAAGACAGCCCAAGAGGCCCCCAAGAGGAGCCAAGACGGCCCAAGAGGGCCCCAAGATAGCCCTGGAGGCCCCCCAAGACGACCCCGAGGCCCCCAAGATGGCCTCAAGAGGGTGAACCCGAACGGACCCTTCTAGTCCTCCACCCCAAGATGACCCCAAGAGCCCCCAAGATGCCCCCGAGGCGCCCCCAAGGGGCCACCAGAGGCCCCCAAGAGGTCCCCAAGAGGCCCCCAAGAGGACCCCGAGAGGCCCCCAAGAGGCCCCAAAGGCCCACAAGAAGCCCCAGGAACCCAGAGGCCCCAAGAGGCGCTCACTCGCGTGCTCCCAGGCCAGAGGTGCACGGCCTGACTTGGTATTGCTCGGAAGCGAAAGCGATGAACGAAGAACCTTCCACCCGTCGCCGTCATGGAATTTTCAAGGGCAGGATCTTTGAGCTGACGGCAGCATGGACATCAAGGTGCCAGGGCATCATCAAGAACATCGCGTGGCGTACGGGCAAGGGCACCCTCCGCAGGGCTGGCAAGACGGGCTGTATTACGGCGGTCCCCTTCGGCGCGAACGCCAGCAGCGTAAAAGTCAGATGCCTCTGGAGAACCTCCCCTCTGCGAATCTCGATCCCCCCCACTCACCTTCCAAATCTCCCGTCCTCGGACAGACGGTCACACACGGGTTGTGGATGCCACGAATGACAATGGACACCCTAACAGTCCTATCATTGAATTTAAAATGTGGTGAAAATGTTGGAAACATGTTCTAAACATGTGCTTTAACATGGTTTGCACACATTTAAAGCATGTTTCAGACATCTGGAAAGTATTTGGCAACATGTTTCCTCTCCGTTGATCGTCCTCCACAACACACGGGGGGCTGGCCCCACCCCGCCTGCGCCGACCCCCCCTGGAGCCTGGAACCCTCCAGTTGCTGCTCCTCTTCCGTCTCCGTCCCTCTCCGCTCGAGGCGTCCTAAACGGGGGTCGAGCAAATTGGGTCGAAGGATCGCATCTTATCGCTGGTGCATCGGCGATTTATCGGCGACGGCGGGATGGAGAAGGTCGGGTTCCAGATCGTGCCGCATCGCAGCGCGATCCTCCGACCCCATCTGGAAGACCTGGGCCCACGCACCCCTCGCCCTCTCTGTCCTCCGTATACCGCCTCTCTGCCTCCTACCTCGCCTCCTTTGCTCCCCCTGCCGTTCGCGCAGTTGGCTGCATCCGATCCTCGGCTACACTCAGATACCCTAGGCGTGTGCGACCTCTGGTGCGCAGCGGCTTTCGGGTAGCGCGTGGGGGGGAACCCGAGCGTACAGACCACTGCTATCGCATCGCAGTTTGGCAATCGGGAGGACCCGTGTGGGCCCGCACTCAAGGTTACTCCAGCTTGTGTTTTAGTCCTGAGAGTCTCCCATGCCATCCTGCTAGCAATTGCGAATCGACGCTAGCCGACGTTCATCGATGCGATCGACGCACAATCGATACGAGTCGCCGCTGAATCGGCGAATACCAGACGCTAGCGCACGCTGGCGGAATTCCGAGGACACACATGATTCCCATGAGCTGCTACCGAAAACACCCATACACCGTACCATGTTTAGAATCCCTCCGGAAGGGGCGCGGGCCTGGCGCGGGGCGCGGCAAGGGGGCTGGTTGCGTGATAAACGACCTCTAGCCCCCCCAAAAACATGAACGCGCATGCTGGCCACAAACTGACAACGCTCTGTCACCATATGACCGGTTCCAGAAACCTAGAACTCAAACATGTTCACCTCTTGCGGGTGCATCTTTTACTTCTGGCGGCTTCCGTCGGCGGAAGTAGCCTCGTTTTGCTTCCGCCGCGTTCCGCCGACTCTCCGCCGCCTCCCGCCGGGGAGGCGATGCGAGCTCCCCTGGCGATCGCAGGCGAGGACTTCCCTGGAGCGCGCCATGTCGCTACGCCATGTCGCTACGCCATGTCGCTACTCGTGAGCCATGAACTGCGACCGAATCTGGCGATGGGGCCACTCTCGCGGTGTAGCCGATCTCCGGCCGAGAGGCGGGGCCCTCGCGGCCACCCCGTCGGCCTGCCTTCGTCCCGAGGCTGGGCGCCCCCGAAGCGGTCGAAGGCTGGACTGGGGCGGCGGAGCGGGTGGCCAGGCCGGGAGGGGCATCGAGGCAACGACTGGGCTCCAAGATGAAGAAAAGGTACAACAAGAGCTGACATCGTGTGCAGGTGCCCCGAAGCCCTGAACCAGAACATGTTGCCATCTCTCGGGGGCGCGCAAACATGGATTAGCGATCCATGGATTTGGCGCGCGGTCGCCAAATCCATGGATCGGGGGAGGTGCCCTCACCAAGATGCGGCCGGTGACGCCTCGGTCGGCGGCGGAAATCCGCGATTTCCTATGGAAACGGGACCCGTCGCTAATCCATGCCCCCTGAATCCATGTTTGCGATCAACTGAATCTCTTGGGGATGCATGTTTTACTGCCGCCGGCTTGTGGTCTGGGACTTCCCACAATCGATGTTTCCGTGTGGATGCACGCAGGTAGCTTGGACAACAGGAGGATCTCGGGCATGAGCGCGAAGAGAAAGCAGGGATGGGCACCGACTGCGACAAGCGCTGAGAACAGTACAAGTGATAACATCGAATACGGAGATTACCTGGTGATGATAATGGTGATCGTGCAGGTGGCGGGCCACTTCTTCCATTCCTTGTTCAGCACTTCTGCCATCAGCGCGCGCACACCTGGCCGCGGGCGCGTCAGGCCGCAGCGCGATGCCTCACGCCACAGCGCACCGCACCAAGCAACCAAGCTCGTACAACTCGGCTTCGCGCTCCGAGCGCTGGAGCTCCTTCCCCCGGCCAGAACTACTCTGGCTGCCTTTCGATCCTTCGATGCGGCGAGAAGGGGAAGGCCGGTGGCCAAAGCCGCTCCACGCGATTGTGCCCACCTGGCCACCCCTGCGGTCCCGCCGTCCAAGCACAGACACTGCCCCAGAAGGCGAACGTAAAGGCGGGCTCAATCACGCAGACGCTTTCGCACCCCACTTTTCACCACTTACAATCAGGCGCATCCCTGACCAGGAAGTGGAAACACGTGTCTCACCACATGCAGTCAAGCGTGTCCCTGACCAGGCACGCGCTCATGCTGCATCTATGCTGACGTCGCCGTCCGCCGCTGCCACACGTCCGCGCCCCCGTTCGGCAAGATCTTCTGCAAGGGGGAGCGCCTGCTCGCCTCGATCCAGCTGACGCTGTGGCCGCCAGCTCCCCGCGCTGTCGCTGCAACTCCGACATCTCACTCTCATCGTCTGCGGTTTCCTGCGCAGCCCCCTGGCGCAGCAGCGGCTCCAGAAGCCATGCCCCCCCCCCCTTGCAAGCGCGGAGCTCACTCTCGAAGCTTGGTTGATGGTGGACTGACGCTGCGGCGAAGGACTCGTTCACTTCAGCGAGCTCCGTGGCCACCCGGACAGAGAGAGGCCGCTCGGCCGTCAGCTGCCAGCCCTGGCAGGCTAAGAGCCGTGTCTGCCCAGCCTGCTCCTCCCGCTCACACTGGGCGCGACGGGCTGCCACCTCGTGGCGGCTGCCACGGCGGATGGCTTGATCGTGGACCGCCTCCTGGCTCACGGCCGCCTCCCGAGTGCTGGGCCATGCTCTGCCCAGCCCTAGCTCGGTGCTCCGCCGCGCGCCTCGAGGCCGTCTGCGCGACGCTCCCTGCGACGCGCCACCCTGGGCTCGGGCGGAGCTCTCAACGACGCTCGGCCTCGGCCCGCACCCCTGTCGAGGAACAAAAACATGGCATACACATAAACAATCCAGGCTGCGCGCAGAATTCTTGGATCCGCGCTGCGAAGCGCTACAAGGGGGGAACAGCGCCGATCCGAGAAATCCGCGCGGATCTGCGCAACCTTAACTAATCTTACTGCATGCCAGTTGGTGCCCCTCGACCCTCGACACCGGGGGGGGAAGACCCAGGACGCCGAGGATGGAAATCCCCTCGGGCGTTGCCTAATGCGGGGGGGCGATGAATGGGGAGAGGGGGGGGGAATGTGCACCTTTCGTGTGCCCCTTTTGAGCCAAATGGGGGACCCTTCAGGGCACAAAACGTGGACCTTGGTCTACCCCCCCCCCAAATAGATGAAGGGGGGGGTAATGTGCACCTTTCGTGTCGCTTGTGGGCCCAACGGGGGACCTTTCAGGGCACAGAACGTGCACCTTGGTTTACCCCCCCCCCCAAAAGATTTCCCCACCCCCTGACGCAACGCCCGAGCCCCTCTCACGGCGCTGGCGGCCGGCCTGGGCGCCGCCGACGCAGGCGAGGCGCTGCGGCGCCAGGCCGCCGCAAGCAGGGCCCCGCCCCCGCTCCGGTGCGGCGCCGGGGTTGGCAGCAGCCCGAGCTCCGCGAGGTCCACAGGAGCGACGACGAGAAGCGGGCCTTTGGAGGCCTGAGAATGGGCACCAACACCAACACAGGGGTTTGCCTCCACAGGGGGGAGATGATCCTAGATTTCGGTGTTGGTGGTAATATTTCGGTCACCTCGGAAACCAGAACATCACCACCATCACCAAGATCGGGATCTTCTTCCCTCGGTGGAGGCACACCGCCGATATTGGTGTTGGTGTCAACCTCTAGGCCTGCGAATGACAGATGGGGCGCTCCAAAAAGGGCATTGACTTCGATGATCGGAGGAAGTGTCATCTCTTGCGCGGCGGAAGGCGGCGGAAGGGCGGCGGAAGTGAAACGAGGCCGCCTCCGACGACGGAATCTTGACCTGGGCCCCACTGGCCGAATTACCCCCAAGATGGGGATACTGGCTGTTTCCTTCGGGTTTCGAGGGGCATATCCCCAAGCGTGATGGTGGAATGGTGGGGCTCGGGATGGGGATGAAGATGGCGATCGTTCACACGATGCTGACCATATCGACCTTACGCCGCAGCTTACTACGCGGGCAGACAGCGTGGCACACCGCATGGAGAACGATTGCGCTTGCGCGCGGCAAACCGCGGGGACCTTACGCGCGAATGTCGGCGCAATCGACCCCATGCTCTGCCTTCGCTCGCATGGAAAAGTCAAAACGGACATTTGTCGTACTTGTCTGCTTCTCGGGGCCTTCGCTGGGCACCCAAAGCCGTCAGAGAAATGATCTGGGACAAACAGCCGGCCCCCGCGGAGTGCCCTGCATTGACTCTGGCACCTCCGAGCTCTGGGCGACTTCGCAAGTAATTAGAGGCGGAAATTGGCGCCCTTCTTTTCACGTTCCTTTGCTGCCGATTTCCGCACTCTTTTGCCTTCGCTGTTCCCAGCGTGCCTTTGCGGAGAGATCCGCCCTGCGTTGCCAAGGCGGGGACCTCCGCCGCACGTGTTCGCACTGTCAGGGGTGCATCTGCGACTCGACTTCGGAGCGGACGATCAAGCAAAGTACGGATCTGGAGTCGGCTGCCCGAAAGGGCGGGTGGCCGCGAGGCCCAGCAAGGGCAACGGGCGCAGGGGCGTCGTCCTGCCCCGCCGTGCCCGCGGCCTCCGCGCCAGCGCGGGTCGGCCTCCGAGCCTGCTCCTCGTCCGCGGGCGCACGCTTTCGGGGCCACCGGGAAGGTGTCGTGACAGACCGCGCGGTGACCTCGAAATGCAGGACCTCACCGCACGGTCCCTCACCGCACGGCTTTGGGACCGCACGGACCAACCCAGGTCGCCCGAGGCGTCCCCAGAGAGCGGCCCGGGTCCCCGAACCGTGCGGTGACCCCCGAACCCCCACCGACTCACCACGCAGGATGGTGGTCACCACACCGCTTGAAGCCATCCCCGACTCTTGCAGGCGCCCTCGGGCGCCCCGGGAGAGGGGCACTGCCCGTGCTGCCACGGGCGCGGCAGCGGCTAAGGCTAGCGGCAGCAGCACCGCCGGCGAGGCGAGCCGCCGCCGCCGCAGAGCCTCGGCGCGGGCTTCGTCCAAGACACGTTCGGAAACGAGCGAAGGAGCGAAGGAGCGCGGAGTGCGGGCCGCGCGCACGCGGCTGCGTGCCCTACGGGCTCAGCGGAGGGCGGTCGGCCCATCTTCTTGGATGCCGTCTGCGGGCTCTGTGCCCGACGAGGCACAGAGATGGAAGGACCCAGCGATCGCTCTGGAGCGACAAACGCTAGGTGCGGCCATCCCGCATCCCGCTCGGGGCTTCGCAAACGGGGGTTCCGCTAAATGGGGGCCTAGGCTTTTCCATACGCCCCCGTTTACCGTGCCCCCGTCTACGACGCCCAGGGCCCCTAAATGGGGGCATAGGCAAACGCGGAAATCGGCATTCCCCGTGCCCCCGTTTGCTGTACCCCGGTCTCTGGCGCCCTGACCCCTGACTTCGCACCTCGCATCGGAGCTCGGGCGGACGCAGCTGGAGCCTGAACGGGCGCGGCATACGAGCGGCAGGACGTGAACAGAGGGATGGATACAGATACATCATATTCAGCGGTGCAAACAATGCCCCTTCCGAAAGAACTCTAGGATGGACATCTCTGCGACAAGCGAGGAGGCGGGAGGAAGTCCCCATCCTACCCACCCAATGCGATGAAGACGACTCCCCCCACTCCCCCCCTGCTCCCCCAAGGGAGCCATCGAAACCCTGCTGAAAAGAAGAATGGATGTGGTGAAGGGTATGGGAGGGGGGGACGGGGAACGGTGAATCGCCCAGCGGCAGAGGTAGGCTCTCCCTCGGAGGCGGGCGTCACCTGCGTAGACCAGGGGGAGCGCCGGCTCCCTCGGGTGCGCGAGGGGGGGCGACTCCCTCAGCTCCATGCCTTCTTCCCCGACCTCACTTCCTGGTCCCCCCCTCCTCCCTCCCGCCTCCCCTCCCAAACAACCCTCCTGGTGCCAACACTGTCTGCCTCGACATTGCCCTCCTGCATTATGCCCTCCGTCATACTCACTCCCATCCTCTGCCGCTCGTCGCGAGGCTAATTCCTATGTCCCACATCCGTGTGCACCCACACCCAGCCTCTACAACCCGCTACTCCTCTCCCACTCTTAGCCCCACGTCATCTTCTCTCGTCTCTTCCGCGCCCATCCTCTTTCCTCCCCTCCTCTCGCACCTTGGGCTCCAAGGTGACAGCCATGCTCCATGCACCGTGCAGCTGCTGCTGGCGAGGCAGCGCTGCGGAGGGCCAGCCGCTCTCTGGTTTCACCAGGTGCCTGGTTTCGCCTGAGAAGTCCTCGCAATTCGCTTGGTTTCGCATGCTATCGGCGCGGTTTCGCTTGAGACGTCCTCCCAACCTGCTCGGTTTGCCCAGGCTTCGACCAGGTTTCGCTTGAGACATCCTCCTAAGTTGCTTGGTGCCTCACACACGTCTCGGGTGCAAACGCGTGGACAAGAATGGTGTGTAGTGAGCAGACGTATGAATCGACAATCTGCACCGCTGTGCTAATGCGTGTGTACATCCGACGCGCAGGGTGTCGTCGGCCAACTGTATCACATGGTGCAACCATCGCTCTCATCATTGCTGCTGTTACGCGGTATTGGACAACGTGGCGGCGTTAGGAGTAAACACTTTCCACCCTGATCAACCTCGGAAGCATGTTCCCGAACGCCACGCCAAGGCCCCAACAACAACCGAAAGACAGCTGAAACCTTCCGCGCCCAACCTCGTCCGCATACGCGGACACGTGGTCCAAACGCCCCCCCCATAAAATTCTAAACAGGTTTCCGACCTGCGGGGGGAGGGGGGCCCTGGGGTCATCCACCCCAAATCATAACACATAGAACCTGGTTTCGGCGATTCTGCCCAGGACGTCCTCACAATTTGCCTGATTTCGCCCCTGGTGTCGACTGGTTTCGCCTGGCTTGGCCTGGCTCGGCTGGGCGGCACAAGCTGCCTGAGATAAACTCGCAATGTGCCTAGTTTCGCACGTGTCTTCGCCTGGTTTCGGCCAGGTTTCGCGTGAGACGTCCTGGCAATTTGCTGGGTTTCGCCTGGTATGGGCGCGGTTTCGCCCGAAGTATCCTCGCATGTTCCCTGGAATCGCTATGGTTTCGCCTAGTGTCGGCACGATTTCGCCTGAGACGTCCTCGCAATTCGCTTGGTTTCGCATGGTGGCGGCGCGGTTTCGTTTGCGACGTCCCCCCAATCTGCTTGGGTTCGCTTGGTTTCGGAGCGGTTTCGCTTGAGACGTCCTCTCAATTTGATTGGTGCCTCACACACGTCGTGGAAGCAAACACGTGGACAAGAACGGCGTGTAGTGATCACAAATACTGAGCGTCATTCTGCACTCGGAAGCATAACAGGCGAAGTGGGCGCGGACATCCAGAATGCAGAATGTGTTCGGCCACTGTATCACATGGTGAAACCATCGCTCACATCATGTCTGCTGCTATGCGGCAGTGGACAACGAGGCGGCATTAGGAGAAGACCTTCCCCAGCCTGTAGGTTACTCCCTCGTGGTGTTCAGGTGCAGTCGTACGTTCTTGAGACGCGTGTGTGTGTGTGTGTGTGCTCTGGTGTTTTGTCGCTCTTCTCCGCGCCCTGTTCCCAAGAGAGCTGCTTGGGCGCTGCATGTGCCTGTCGTGGTGCACGTGCCTTTTTCTGCACGCGCAACCTTTCGGCGACTGCTTCCCATCTGCAAGGCTCGGTTGTAATTCTTGATAGTTCGCCCCGAACAAACCAGCCGCGGAATTAAAGCCATGTGTGTGCGTTCGCGTGAGGATGTGTGTGTGTGTCTGTGTGTATGTGTGTGTGTGTCTGTGTCTGTGTCTGTGTGTGTGTCTGTGTCTGTGTGTGTGCATGCTTTTGTCCGCTCTGGCCTTTTGTCGCTCAGATCCGCGCCCAGTTCCCAAGAGAGCTGCTTGGGCGCTGGAGCTGCTTGGGCGCTGCATGTGCCTGTCGTGGTGCACTTCCCTTTTTTTCTGCACGCGCAACCGTTCGGCTGCCGCTTCCCATCTGCAAGGCTCGGCTGCAATTCTTGTTAGTTCGTTCCGAACAAACCAGCCGCGAAATTAAAAACATGTGTGTGCGTTTGCGTGAGGGTGTGTGTGTGTGTGTCTCCGCGTGTGTGTGTGTGTGTGCTCAGGTGTTTTGTAACTCTTCTCCGCGCCCAGTTCCCAAGAGAGCTGCTTGGGCGCTGCACGTGCCTGTCGTGGTGCACTTCTTTTTTGTTCTGCACGCGCAACCGTTCGGCGGCTGCTTCCCATCGGCCAAGCTCGGCTGCAATTCTTGTCAGTTCGTCCCGAACAAACCAGCAGCGGAATCAAAAACATTGTGCGTGTTTGCGTGAGTGTGTGTGTATGTGTGTGTGATCTCCCATACCTCGACCCTGGGGGCACCAAACAATTGTTGAAACACATGCGCCGTCGAATGCGTTCAGCGATCCCTTCGCATGGGCCGCTCTTCGTGGGGAACTCCGATGGGGGAGTCTTACTGGGGGATCCTATGGGGCAGTCCAATGGGGCGGGCCATGAGGGGCCCATGGGAGAGTCTGATAAAAAGGTAGCCCTGGACGGGGGTCCTCTAGGAGAGTCCGATGGGGGAGTCCAAGTCCAGCAAGGCAGTCCAATGGGGGATGGGGGAGCCCCATGGGGAAATGTTCTGGGGGGGTGCCTTGGGGGAGTCCCATGGGGAGTCTTATAAAAGAGTCCTCTATGGAAGAGCCCCATCGGAGAATCCAACGGGGGGCTCCTAGAGGGTTTTCCCTGCGGGGAAGTCGTCTGAAGGAATCCTACGGGGACGTCCGATCGGGGAATTCAGTTGGGGACGGGCCAGACGGGGGGCCCGCGGGGCGTCCCGCGCGGGGCGGGGGGCCCCAGAAATGCCAGGGCGCAATATTTCTGCGTGTTCTCGCCGGGCGCACCTGGAAAAACAGCAAAAACGCATATCATATGTCCCCGTTGTAGAACGCGCCTTTAGAGGCACCCGTCAAAACTTCACCTTGCGCGAGGGGGGGGGCGGCGGAAGGTGGCGCCAGTATATAATGGCACGAGGCGGTTTTCCTCATACCACTCGGGCCTCGCGCGCGCTTCGGAGGCGAATCTCCTTCGCTGGTGGGCGGGCCCCGGGGCTTGGCGCAACGCTGCGCGCTGGCCCGAGCCCGACCCCCCAAGACCAGCGGGCAAGGCAAAAACGAGCGAGGAGGGGGGGGGGGGCTTGAGACGGGAACGCGCAAATAAAGCAACGTTGCATTCGGGACGGCACCACTTTCTGCGCAACGTTCCCCGCCCCCTCAATGAAGCCCCCACCCCGCCCACTTAGGGAGGCGGGGAGAGAAGGTGAACGACGAGGCCCGAACAAGTCATTGCCCAGGGGCAACTCACATTTAGAGGCACCCGTCAAAGCTTCACCTTGCGCGAGGAGGGGGCGGCGGAAGGTGGCGCCAGTATAGAATGGCACGAGGCGGTTTTCCTCATACCACTCCGGCCTCGCGCGCGCTGTGGAGGCGACTGTCCTTCGCTGGTGGGTGGCCCTCGGTGCCTGACGCAACGCGGCGCACTGGCCCTCTCGAGCCCAGCCCGCCGCGACGCCGGCGCCTGGCCGCGTCGTGCAGGGCGCGGCCGGGAGGGCGCACGGGCACGGCCGCAACCTGAATCAGTTGCGAAACAGATCATCAGCAGCGCAGGTCTTCATGTACCTCATCACACACTTCTCCGAGGCCCATCGGCCTCTCCTCTGGATCCGTCACGCAGTCCTGTAGCCCGCCGTCGCGTCGCGGCTCGGCCCAGAGTGGCGAGCCGAATGGGCTGGGAAGGCTGGCGTCCCCGCGTCGGCGCAAGCCCGGCGGGGCACGCGCCTGTTGCGGTCGGCCGCCATGCAGGAGTTTGGCTCGTCTGGCTGCCTCGAGCTGCGACGCCGCCGCAGCATCTCCGCCGCGTGCTGGCGGTCGATGAGGCCCCCCTGCCTCGCCCCCGCCTTGGCGCGCCGCGCGACGACGCCGAGGCGGAGCGCGGCCGCCGAGCAGCCGCCCGCGCCGTCGGTGACCATCGCGTCCCCAGCTCGCAGGCTGAGCAGCTCGGCCGAGCGCAGGTAGGCATCCAGCGCCAGCTAGAAGCCCTCGGCAAACTCCGCGCGCCCGGAGACTGGCAGTCTCGGACAGAACCGCCCGCAGCTCCAGGGGCTGAGGTCCGACTTCTCCGGCCACGCGCACGGGGTGCCAGGCCTTCAGCGCGCGGTTCTCCGTCGGCAGTCCGGCGCTCAGCTCGGGCCACGCGTGGGCCAAGCCGTGCACCGCGAAGTCCCCCCAATGGGGGCCGATCGCCCCGTCCTCCACGAGCTCGTCCAAATACGCTAAACCCGCCAGTCGATCTCGTCACGACCCGTCATCGGGAGGTCGCGCTGCAGGGCGCGCTGCAAGAAGCGCCGAACGCTGGAAACGTAGCATCCCGATGCCGTCTTGGCCGCGACTGAGGAGGGCAACGATGACAGACCATCTTCAGCTCACACCCTGTCGGCCATGTCCACCGACTGGCTGCGCTCCACCTCGTTCCGGCGGCGAGTCCTCCCCGCCTTCCTGTCCTGGGCGCAGCGCCGCGGCCTCTCCTCCGGAGCAGCCGTCAAGGGGCGCGTGAGCGAACTCGCCAACAGCCACCGGAGGTGTCTCTCTGGCCCACATGCGACGCTGCTGCGGCAAAAGCGGCGACGCTGACCCCCGGGGCCGGGCGCCGTCTGCCCTCTCCTGCGAGGGGGGCCAGCGCCTAGACGCTCCGAGGGGCTCTGACCAGCCATCCGGCAAGGACGAGGCGACGCCGAGCCTGGGTGGCCTCCAACGGCCCCACCCCAGGACTTCGATGCGTAACCCCACGCTGCCCTCGACAAGCAGCTGGGCCGCTCGCTCCACCAGCTCCGCCCCGCGTCGCTCGCAGCCCGCCAGCATGACGCCCGGTTGACACTCCGCCAGCAGTCGACAGACTTCCGATGGATAGCACTGGGCGGCACGGCTTCGGACCTTCCCAAGAGTCGTCCTTCCCGCGCAGGCTCGCCAGGTGAGCCCCGCGGGTGCAAGGCTGCGCGAAGCGGTCCATGTCCTTGGCGGGCCCCGTCAGAGTCGTCAGCTTCAGGGCCGGGCATCCCCGCATACACTGCGGGAAAGTCACTCGGTGCGCACCTAGCTCCATCGCCCAGCTCAGCAGCTCCTCTGCGATGATGAAGATCGACGGGAACGGAAGCACTGCCAGTTCGGCAGGTTGTTCAAGCGAAAGTCCCCCTTCCGTCCAATAGCCCGCAGGATCCCCGGGCTGCCCAGCAACTGCGCGGCCCCCAGCTCCACCTTCCGACGGCCCCGTCCTCGCAGCCCCGGTCGCCCCCAAAGATGGCCTCGCAGCCCCAGGGGGGGGGAGGGCCGCCAGGTTGGACGCGCGCGCGAAACGTGTGAGTGGTGTGGCGAAAACGATGACGATGATGGTGATGATGACGATGCTGGTGATTAAGACGACCATGATGATGATGATGATGATGATGATGATGATGATGATGATGATGATGATGATGATGATGATGATGATGATGATGATGATGAAGGCCACGATGTTGATGATGATGCGGATGACGACGATCACGATGACGATGACGATGATGATGAGCATGATGCTGATGAGAAGAGGAGGCAGGGGCAGCGGGAGGAGGAACGCGGGGGCTGTCTCTTCAAACCGAGGGCCCAACACCACAGGATCGTTGGGAATATCTTACATGGCGTGTAAGGTTCGTTTGATGCTCCGGCCCGAAAACATGGAAAACCACTCATTTGAAATACATGTATAGACTATTACTAAACAAATCTCGACCACCCGCGGGGTGCCCCCGGAATCTTGAGATACCATGTTATTTAGGTGTTTCCAGATGGTCTTGTTATGTGTCCCTGCGCTGCTCCGGCGCTCCCCCCGCGGGGGCGTTTCCGCAGGGCGACCGTCCTGGCGTGCCCCAGGCGGGCGCGCTCCCGCTGAGCGGCCGTTCTGGCTTCCCCTAGAAGCGCGGCCCCCAGAGCGAACGCCCAGGTTGATCTTCCCCGGGAAACCATGTGGCCCCTGAGGGCACACCAGTGGCATTCCAGATGTTCTAAAGATGGTTCACAATCGAAATCAATTGCGGAAGGTTTCCCGAAATTTACATCCAAAAAGGGTGTCCCCCGGTCAACCGGACTAAAGTTCGTCCAGCCGGGGTATAGCCTATCCAACCGGGGTATAGGCTAATGCCGCGCCCCCCGCGCGGCCTCACGCGCGCAGGCGTTCGGGCATCGATGGGAGCGCAACCTGCTTCCCTGCCGCATGCCTTGTCTCGGGTTCGCCCGCGTTCCACAAAAAAACCTCCGCGACGGCCGAATGCGCTCCCGCCCCTGCCCAGCAGCGCGCCCTATCGTCCGAGCTCCAGCCAGCCATAGCCGACGCGCCGGAAGCCGATGACATGCGTCAAGAACTCGTTCAGTGCGTGAATGACATCCGCGCACGGGGGGGCCCAAGTCGCAGGATGCCATCACGCTGTGGCGCGACTGGTACCTACGCCACGGCCCACGCCTGCTGGGCGGCACCCACGTGGACCCCAGCCTCTACACCGCCGAGCAACTCACGAGATTCCTGCACACCGTCGCTGGCTCTCGGATGCCGATGCCGAAGCAGGCTCCGCCGCAGGAGGGTGGGGACCCCCACTAGCGGGTCGCCTCCCCAGAGTTGTCGCGGTCCGCCCGCTCCCAGCCCCCCGTCTCTGCAAGCCGCCGAGAGCGTTGGGCAGGGCATTGCAGACCCCCGACGCCCGCTGGGCGCGCGCCCCCCGCCCTTCGCACGGGCCGCCACTCCCCCCCCCGAGTAACCCCGTCCGCGCTGACGGCTCCGGCCCCTGCGGCGCCTGCCTTCCCCCGCGCGGGCCGCTTGCCCCGGCACAGCGGGAGGGATCCCGCGCTGCTGGCCGGACCGCGACCGCGCCGCCTAGGGGGCCGCCCCGCCCTGCGGTTTCCCCCCCCCCTCTCCGGAGGGTGCCTGCCGTATCATCACTGTCGTGCGCCTGACCCGGCTCGAGGGGACTCCCAACCGCCTGGTGGGACGCGGAAGGCCCCCCCTGGGGCTCACCACCCCCGGGTGCGGCCCACTCTGGTGCCCCTTACCCCCCTGTCATGGGGCGGGGCATCGGTGCCAGGGCTGGCTGCCCTGGGTGCTCTCCCCCTCCCGTGGCACCCACGCCTCCGCCGTCTTGCTGCGCTGTGTGCCCCGCGCTCCGGCTCGCTTTGCCGTGCGCTTTGCCCCGCATGCACTGTCGGCACGTTGCTGGCCGTTCGACGCCACTTCGTTAGGAGCCAGAAAAAACACACAAAGGATTTTCACACAATGGGTTTTGGCACCAGCAACGGTGCAACGCATGTGCACCCATGCCACTGGATCCCCGGCGATCCGACCCGGGGTTGATGCACGGCCGTGCTCTACAGTGTACTTGAAAGGAATGGTATGGCAGCGCTGTCGGCGGCGACAAGATCCCAAACTCCGCTACCAACAGACAGTTCGGTTGGCCGTGCGGCATACGAATAGAAAAATAATTCTGTGCTGCCTATCGAAGGGACTGTTTGGGAAGGAGACTCGCGCTCGCTTCACAACCCCCTTTCCCACACCCCGTTGCGAGCGCGCGACGATATGTTCTGGCACGCGGGCAGGGGACTGCCAATTGCTGGTGAGCGGCCTTCCACCCGTCACGCGTTCCAAACAGATGCGGCCAGCTAAACGCACTTGCCACGCAAACCGCCAGCTCCAAACACCGACGCCACCCCGATCCCCGCGTCCGTGCCAGGCACCCTCTCAACGACGCCCCCTTCCAGCGTAAAACCCATAACACCTTTTGTGTTTATGTGTTTTTTCCTGTTCTGATTCGTCGTGCCCCTGCGTCTTTCCCTCCCCCCATCCGCGGGTTTTCGTACGAAACGGTTGATCCCTTGGGCGGATCCCTGCCCCTGGCTTCTCAGTGGCCGGCCCTAGGCGCGTTTGCCCCGCTTCCCGACCCTCTGCGCCTCGACGTACATCAGGCTCGTGTCGTGCCGACTTCGGCGCTGGTTTCTGACACCGCCGGGATCTTTGAACCTCGAACGATCGGCTGTTTCCGAAACGTCCAAATCGTTCCACGTCGAACGATTCTGGGTCGCCCGCAGCGTTCAAAGTTGAAGGCCGCTGGCGGGGTCGCAGCCAGTCGACACGACACGAACCTACCGTATGTGTGTGCGCGTGCGTGCGTGCGTGTTTTTCTGCGTGTGCGTGCGTGTATGTGTGAATGTCTGTGTCTGTGAGTGTGCGCACGGGCGCATGCGCGTTTGTGTGTGTGTGTGTGTGTGCGTTTCCTCCGGCTTACCCGGGTACTTCCTACTTCCCGTGCCTCCATGGAGTCTTCTCGCATGCCGGGCGCAAGTCTGGGTTGGCTTCTCGCCCCTGGAGCAAGACCTTCTCGAGTAGTCCGTTCGTCTTTCCTGCTGTCTCTTCCATCGCTCTTTCTGCCCCGACTCGCCGCACTCCTCCCGTATATTCTTCATTCCTACCCCTCCCTCCGAAAGCCAGCGAGAGAAAGAGAGAGCGGTCCACCTTCGGCGTTGCAATTGCCTTGACCGCCAAATCCCGGCTAGCCTTGCCGCAGGATCGGGCCATAGCAGTATCGCATGAGACAGACAGGCAATGGCGAGAGCAGGAAGAGGGGGATGCGGAGGAGGACCAGCAACATCAGCGGTCTCGTGGCCATCTTGGGCCGTCTTCGGGCCTTCTGCCTAAGACCGCAGCAAAGGCGTCGGCAGGTGTAGCGTGGCCTGCTGGGTGTGAATGTGTGTGCATGGTCAGGGCGGGCATGCAAATCATGTGGGCAATTCGACGACCTCTGCTTGCCTGGGCTGCAAATCATGTGGTGCAAAGGCGTGTGAGATGATCGGCTGTCCCCCTCCCCCTTTCCCTCTCCCCCAGGGTCTGGAATCCGATCAAAGAGGGGGGGGTCTCTGGGCTCCTCGAGGTTCCCCCGGGGCTTCCGGAGCCTCGATTTCTCCACTCCGCGGTCTCCAAGATTAATCAGATTCCATCTAAACTTGCGCAAGCTGGGCTCCAGCACCACGCCAAGGAGACATCAAAAACAACCACGATGGCCTCACGACGGCCCAACAAGCCTCCAAGACGTCCCCAGGGAGCCCCAAGAGAACCCCAAGAGGGCCCCCCAGAGGCCCAAATCGCCCGGATGTCAAAGGAACATAAACATTTTCATCACGCTCACCTGTTTGGGTGTCAACAGCATCCGAAGCGGCTCAGTATGCCTCCAAGATCGCTTCAGGACGGCCCCCCAAAAAGCATCCCAAAGCAGCCCTAGAGGGCCCCAACAGATCCTCAAGAGGGGTCCAGGAGGGGAACTCGAATTTCCATTCCGGGCCCTCCACCCCGAGAGGCCCCCCGAGACCGCCAGCAGGCGCCCCACAGAACCTCAAGAGGCTCCGAGAGGCCCCCGAGGAACCCCAAAGATGCCCCGGCAGCAGACCCGTCAAACGATCCCCAAGAGGCGGAAGGCCTCACCCGCGGACGTCGTTTCTCCTCTGGTGGTCGGTGGAGTGGCGCAGGCCCCTTTGAATCGTCACCCCCCCAGCAAGTTGAATATAAATGGTGCTAAATGTGGTCTCCAAGGCTGCGCCAACGAACTGGCCCATGGCCTCCTCCGCCGCAATCAGGACCCACGGGCACTACGAAATCAGCGACGCTGCTATGGAAACCGGCAGGGCAAGGCGAAGGAAGACTGGAAGGAGGTGGAGGAAGAGCACCTCGCCCCCCAGACCTAGCAACTCCACCATTCTCCCTTGGACCATATCGCAGACAAGTCACGAAACCGCCGTTTCGACCAAAGGTACCGTAATTGAAATCACGAGGCCACCGCCGGGGCTCTGGCGCGCGGTGCGCTGAGACCAGCGCTGAGACCTGCCGCCCCTCATACGCCGACCGCGACGTCGGCCACTACGCCTGCCAGCTCTGGCCAGAACAAGGAAGAAGCCGTGAGGGACGTCGCCTTTCCGGGTGCGCAGCCAGCCGGGCAGACTGGCGCCAGCACTGTCGGACGAGGAAGATGGGACGCAACAAGACATACTAGTACTACGTGTTTTCCTCGGAGGCGTGCGTTCGACCCGAACATACATGTCTAAGAACAGTCACAAAAAACGATCTGGGGGGACATTACAGACACAGTTCTTCACAACGCTGTAGCGCGCGCGCATAGAAAACAAAAGGAAGGCGGGGCAAACCAGACCATCGGGGACGTCCCTGCGACCACCATTTTGAGGCCATGTTGGGCGTCTTGGAGCGTTCTTGGGCTGTCTTGGAGGCCTCTTGGGCCGCTCTTAGAGCTCTCTTGGCGCCCCTTGGGGGCGTCTTCAGCCTCACGGCGCGATCCCAACGCGCTCCCGGGGTGCCCGTGGCGCGTCGAGGGGCCGCCCTGGGAGCCACCAGTCCAGCCCCCCGGTATGTGTATACATACATTTGTATATATATATATATATGTATATATGTGTGTGTGCAAACGTACATATATGATTTTGTGTAAAGCTATAGCAAAATCTAGATCTGTATATAGCTACGTATGTGTATACACATATAGTTGTATATACATATCGCATCGTTCCCGTCTCCGTGGGATATTTTCCAGGGGCACAATTAAATAAGCCTGGCGAAGGACCCAACCATATGCAGCTGTGAATACCGCATCCGTGAGTATCGTCTTCGGTGGAGCTCCCTATAGAGCCATGAAGCGCTGTACTGGGCGGGGGGGACGCACGCCAACACCGCCACTGGGACCTCCGGTGGAGCTCCCTATGTGGCCACACAACGCTGTACTGGGTGGGGAAAACGCATGCGAACACCGCCGCTGAGGCCTTCGGTGGAGCTCCCTATGGGGCCACGAAGCACTCGCTACTGGGTGGGGGAGACGCGTGCGAACACCGCCACTGGGGCCTTCGGTGGACCCCCATATGGGCCCACGAAACGCTGTACTGGGTGGGGGAGGCGCGTGCGAATACCGCCACTGGGACCTTTGGTGGAAATCCCTATGGGACCACGAAGCGCTGTACTGGGTAGGGAAGGCGTATGCGAACACCGCCACTGGGGACTTCGGTGAAGCTCCCCATTGTGCCACGAAACGCTGTACGGGGTAGGGAACCGCATGCAAACAGCGCCACTGGGGCCTGCGGTGGAGCTCCCTGCGGGGCCACGAAGCGTTGTACTGGGTGGGGGAACCGCATGCGAACACCGCCACTGAGGACTTCGGTGGAGCTCCCTACGGGCCCACGAAGCTGTACTGGGCGGGGGAGGCGCATGCGAACACCGCCACTGGGGCTTCAGTCGAGCTCCCCAAGGGGCCACCAAACGTGTGAAGAATGTACTGACATGGTTGACCGGTGCGGAGAGCAGAGGCACGGATAGGAGGAGGAAGGAGGAAAGGGAGGAAGGAGGAGAGGAGAGGAGAGGAGAGGAGAGGCGAGGAGAGGAGAGGAGAGGAGAGGAGAGGAGGGCAGGAGGAGTAGGAGTAGGAATAGGAGGAGGAGGAGGAGGAGGAGGAGGAGGAGGAGGAGGAGGAGGAGGAGGAGGAGGAGGAGAAGACGCGGGGCGTGTCTCTTCAAAACGAGGACCCAACACCACAGGACGGTTAAAAACAAATGATTATTCTACGGCGAATTAATGGCAGTCGGAATCCCGGGGGGGAGGGGGGGCATCAATTTTTCAAACTGGTTTAGGATAGTAGTACAACCATCTAGTAGTATATCGTTTCCCGAGCGGTACACGGCCAGAAAGCGCCTGCGACGGAACATATACTATAAGATGTCTCGGCGCGCGCGTCGCCGTTGGGGGGGGGGGCGACGCACACATAGTATCAGTGTGTTGGGGCGGTTCCAACTGGATGCCGACAAGGAGCTGCGGCCACCATACAGACCAGGCTTGGGGCCCGTGCTTTTAAAACTGGAGGAGCTGATGGTCCAAGCCGAGGAGTCTGAGAGGAGGACGAACCCGAGGATGCCGCGGAGGCCGAGACTCTCCTTAATGAGGGAAGCGTGAGCCAGGCAGTGAGGCCAAGCACGAGGAAGATGAGGTTCTCGGAGGGGCCCGCGGACCCCTTTCGGGGCATGGGGGGGCGGATGGGCTCGCTGGAAGACGATATCGAGGACGGGGCGGCGTATACGAGTGCCGTGAAGGGGGACTAGCTGAAGGCCGCGGACCACCTCCCAAAGCTGCGAGATGAGCAGCAGTCGAATCAGCCGGCCGCCCGCTTAGAGCCTTACAACGCTCGCGCACGTTTTGGAAATCGCTGCTCGCTTCGTTCGGTTCGCCACAATCCGCCTTGTGCGCCCTGCCGGCAGGATACGGCAAGGGCTCCTCGTAGGTACTCCTCCCCACCCTGTGTTAACCCGTCTGCGTCACAGCAGGAAGTGAAGGATAGGATGCCCAACAGCAGATAATGTCCCAAACCGACAGCGGCCGCTGTTGGGCAGACGACATGTTGTCTCAAACGGACATCGTCCGCAGCGACACCGACAGCGAGTGCTACTCGAAACGGGCAGGAACAGCTGCCGGCCTTCGTCGCCATCCTTTCCGTACCCATTTTGGCCGCACCGAGTTCCAGGTCGACCTCCGCCAGGGCCCCGAGGGCGCCGAGCACGTGCTCCAAGCCCAACCCAGCGCCGAAATCCTGGGAAACTCCGAAGACGAACCTCTCGGCCACGGCCGCGGTTCCCACCAGCTCCTTCTGATCGACCTCGCCGTGGACGCCGCGCCCCCCCTGGGCTATTCGCCCCGAGCGTCGCCTCGGATGCTCCCCCCCGATCTCCAGGCGGCCGATCTGGGCTCTGCTGGGCCTCTGCTGCCGCCGGCGCCGAGGGGGAGAGGGGCGGGCGCCTGCGGCGTGGCCACGGCCGCCGCAGGATCTCGAGGCGCCCTCCCACAAGGACGAGGACTGGCCACTCGACCACTGGACCCGCGCTGGTCGCCTGCTCCATGAACGTCACGTGACCCTCGACCAGCCTCGCCGTCTTCGCCCTTAGGGGCGCAGCGGGCGTCCGCGCCGCCCCCCTCCGACTCCGACTCACCCACTCCGTCGAAGACTACTCCGCGCTGCCTTGGCCCGAGCTCCTGCTCCTGCTGCGCGCCCGCTCCGCCCGCAGGCAGCTTCCCCCCCAGCCACCTCCGTGGCACCCTGGCACGCAGCTGGCGCCATGCGGGCGCCCACCTCGGCGCCTCTCGCACGGGCTCGCCTGCGGGCCGCCGCCGCAGCTCCCCCGCCGATCGCCGCTCTGCTTCTCCCTTCGCCACGGCGCCCAGCAGCTGGCGCAATCCCACCCCTCGTGCCCTGCACCGCGGCCTCCCGGGCGGCGCGGAAGCTCTGGGCCCGCTCTTGGCCTCGGGGGTCCGCCGTCACGTCGCCGGGCTGCTGACGCTCGTCCGCAGGGCACCATGCCCTGTGGTTCGTGGACGTGCGACGCGCGAAACATGGAAGATCGAAGGAGGGCCAGCTCAGACAATGGCGGTTCTCCCGCCTGGCCCCACTCCCGCTCAAGATCGGTCCGCGGGCCCCTCCTGGGTCAGTCCTGACCTGTATGGACCGACATATCTTCCGCGCT